TCATGGCGGCTACATGCACTGCTGCAAACCCACAGAATGCACACCACCAGAGTGAGCCCAAATGCCACCCACAGGCTCTGGTGACAATGCCGTGTCGGTGCAGGTTATCAGGTGCAACAAGTGTCCCGGTCCGGTGCGGGTGATGGTCATGGGGGAGGCTGTGCATGTGCAGGGTCAGGGTAATGGGAAATCTCTGTACCTTCTGCTCAATTCTGCTGTGACCTAAAACTGCCCCAAGCCAGAAAGTCTAGAAAAAAACATGAAACATGCTATATGAAGAAACAATAAGAAGTCAGGTGAGTCCACCTCTATTAGGGATCGTATGCATTCTGCCACACTGAGTTTACTCCAGACCCTGGAGAGAACGGTGACAACATGTGGCCCTGGAGGTTCCCCCACTGTTCACACATGAGCAGGCTGGCCCCTTCATGCACGTTTCTGGAGGTAACCTGGATGAAGTTACCACCTTCTAAAAATGTTCATCGCAAGGCAATCAATTAACTTAAGGAACAGGCAGTTTAAGGAGACTGAAGAAAAGGCCAGCACTGGTGCACTCACAGGGACAGCGGCGCCTCGCACACTCGGGCCCGTCCGCCATCCGGGGGACGAGGCCCCAGGAGGAAGAGCCGGTGCCCCACTGCCGTGGCTGGTTCTCATGGTGCTCAGCGGCCCAGAGGCCACGAACTATGGCCATGGCAGTCGGCAGCACTGTCCTTGAACTAACCCAAGGAAGGAACTGCACCCCTAGGAGAGCCCTGACAGCGTTAGAACAGCTCCAGGCTTTTGTCACTGCCACTTTAAAACACAGTGAAACACAAACCTGTGATTCTTGATTGTCACAGAGCACAGACGTGATGCGCGAGCTGCCCGTTAGGTTCTGAGGGCTCACCCTTTGACCTGGATGGGGGCTGAGACCTTCCAGCCAAAACCCTGTCTGCCCGACAGGTGCTGTGACAGGTGGCACTCTGCCCCACCTGTGGCCACGCTGCCTCTGTGAGTCCCCCACAAACACAGCAGGACTCCACAGTCCAAAAGGCGTTCTTAGTTCATCAGTTAGGAAACCCCAGGATCAAGAATAAAAACTCTCACCCATATTTATTCTAACTGAACCCAGATATGAAAAGATAATGGACAAAGGGACAAAGGGAACTGCTGATGCCACATGGTTCTGCATGTGCATGGCAACTCAGAATCAGGGTGCCCACCAGGGAAGGCTGGCTACTAAGGGGGTCAGACCCTGCCCAGCCTGCCCAGCAAACTGGACTTGCTATTCAGAGTCCATGTCGGTGGGGGCCACATTCTAATCCTCTGGCATGTCCAATACTGCAAACTACACCAGGCTGGCCCGTCCTGGGTTTGGCTCTGCAGGCTGCCCACCCGAATGCGTGTGCTGAGAAGCAATGTCCCAGAGCCCAGGGATGGGAAGGATGGCTGAGCCAGGGGGCGTGGCTGGGCCAGCTGGGGGCGTGGCTGGGCCAGGGGGCGTGGCTGAGCCACCGCAAGACGCAGGGACACACACACCATGGAAATGAATGCCAGGCAGCTTAGCTCTCTGACATCCAGTTCTGGGTCTTCCCTTCAAGCCAAGCACACCGACTCTCTGCAGCCCTTTGGCCCTTCTTCTCACACCATCCCTGCCCCACACTTGTCCCCTCCCCACCCAGCACACACACAGTTTGCCGGTTACCTGGCTGGAAACCTCATACTCCACGTGCTTCAGGAAGAGGCCCTTCTTCTGCGGGATGAGCTCCACCTGCACGGTGTCTCTGGCCAGCAGCTCCTGCAGGGTGTGTGACAGCAGCAGCGGGTTCCCCTGCGGCACCTGCATTCGCCTGGGGTCCGGGTCCCTCCGCTCGCCGACCTGGGGTGTTGGCAAGTCTGGAGGACAGAGGATGGGTGAGCACCAGAAATAGCTGCTCAGAAGGTGGAGGGAGGCCCCATCAGCTCTCCGTCCCTCCTCCGTTAGCTCAGCACGTGGACTCTGGCCACGTCACCCAGCCATATCCCACTCTGGCCAGGTCACATTTCACCCTGTAGACTCGACGCTGAGGGGCAGGTGCCTCTGCTCCTAATAATCACCACGCCAGGCGGCGTCCACCTGCCTGTGAATCAGCACATACACTCACATTTCTAGGACCAGTCAAATCTCCTTTTCAACTTGGGGAAGGAAAAAGAAGTGACATATTTACAACTTATGTGCAAAAGAAGTCTTCCTTTTCTCTAGAGTCAAGAAAAGGGGTTACAACAAAAGAAATTGGTATAATTTTCTGCACCTCCCCGTGTTTGTACAACACATACTACTTTAATTGCCAAAACAATCGTTCTCATTTTTAGAACACCTGCATGCTTGCTTAGAGCTAGGATTCCTGTTCCCACAAATCAAAGATTTAAGCCATAAAATTTCAGCTTCCTTTATAGACAATAAGTCACCATGTGTCACTCACAGAGCAGAAGACAGTTCAGTGAGATTTTATGACTAACAAACAAATAAGAAAATCACGTTAAAAAGTCAGTTTGGTTTTTAGTACAGAGTTCTAAAGAGAAAAAAGTTCATTTCAATTTTTAAAAATTAAGGTATCCCAGAGGGGTAAAAAGTCTTAATCCAAATAAGTATAACAAACTGTAGATTTCTTTTCTCTTTTTCCCAAATTTTCTATAATGTGGTTGTATCTCTTTTTATGATTTACGTCTTAAAGTAACACTTTAGTGCAACAGCCCAGTTCACATCCTAAACAGAATTAATGACTGGGTTATTTCCCTCTGTGAAATTACTCAGCATTGAAGGGTTTAAAATGTAGCTGCCTTTAACTGACCTAAAGTTTACAAAAGAAATAAACTAAGGCCTCAGTGTTTACTTGGAAACTCCCAAGGGCCTCATACAGAGCCCGCACAAAAACTAAGTAGCAAGTGCTAGAAAGCAGTGAGCTCCCAAGTGGAGGGCACGCAATCCACCGGGGCCCCAAGAAAACATCAGCAGCACTTCTGTCTGTATTTTGATCTCTTCTTTTTTCATTTCTATTCTGTGGCATTACTGTAAGGCATGGAAGAGAGACAAATAACCCAATTTAAAAATGGGCAGAGGCCGGCTGAGTGGCTCAGTTGGTTAAGAGCTCGCTCAAGAGTTTCAGCTCTGAGCAACAGCGGTTCGATTCCTGGCCCGAGCTGAGCTGCCACTGAGCTGCCAATAGGTGGCAGGATGGCTCAGCTAAAAAAAAAATAAATAAATAAAGTAAAAATGGGCAAAGGATTTGCACAGACTTTTCTGAAAGACATACCAATGGCTGGAAAACACATGAAAAGGTGCTCAAAATCATTAACTGTCATAAAAACACAAATCACAGCCAAGTAAAATACCACCCGCTATGATGGCTCTAATCAAACAATAAATAATAAGACTACAACGAGTTGGTGGGGATGGAAAACCCTCACATATGCTGGCAGGTGTGTAAAAGGTGCAGCTGCCTTCGGAACTGTCCGGCAACTCCTCAGAATGTTAGACATGGAGTTACCATGGGATCCGGCAATTCCACCCCCAGGAACGTCCCCAAGAGAACTGAGAATGTCCATCCACACACGAAAAACCCTAATGTCCCACTGACAAATGGACAAATGAAAGGGTATACCCACGCAATGGAGTATTATTCGGCCATAACAAGGCATGAAGGACAGCTCACATTACGATGTGGATGAACCCTGAAAACATGCTGCTGAGTGAGGGGAGCCAGGCGCAAAAGACCACGTGTGGGACGATTCCGCACACATGAAAAGTCCGGAAGAGGCAAACCTATGGAAACAGAAAGCAGACCAGGGCCTGTCCGGCTGGGAGGGGATTGGGGAAACGGGGAGTGAGTGCTAAAGAATCAAACATTTCTTTCAAGGTGATAAAATGCTCTCAATTCGATTATGGTGAAGACTGCCCACCTCAATATACAAACACCACAGCACTGTACCTTCACATGAGTGACTCATATGGCATGTAAATGGTATCTCTATAAACCCTTTCTATATACACAGTAGGTGACATCAGAGGTAAACGCCCAGTAAAAACCTTCAAAATCCCCTCCTCTACAAAAGCAACAAGAACACTGGTGACAACTGTCAGAATCAGCTTTTTCAGAACACTGGAAATTGAACAAAGGTTTGTGGGAATGCAGATTCCATTTATGGATATAATGATTCATTTAGTTAAAAATGAGGTCATACTGGAGTTCTTAGAAGACACATGAAGACCCAGGGACACACACACACACACACGGGGAGGCCACATGACGATGGAGGCAGAGAATGAGGGGCCGCAGCTGCAAGCCTGGGGACGCAAGGATGGCCGGAGCCACGAGACCCTGGCAGAGGTGAAAAGGGTCCCCCCTGCAGGCTCCAGAGGGAGCACGACCCGCCAATGCCTTGACGTCAGGCTCTGGTGTCCAGGCTGAGAGGCAACACGTTTCTGTAGGTTTAAGCCCCTCCCCCCACACCTGGTCTGTGGTGCTTTCTTACGGCAGCCACAGGAACCTCATACAAGAGAGTTTACAAAATTAGTTCAGCAAAGTCATTAAATAAACAACAACAAACAGCAACAACTCCTGGGGGGAATCTGATTTCCAGAGGTGACACATTATATTATTTATTGGGTTGTCAGAAAAGTCATGACATATTTTTTCTACGTTTTTCGTTGCAAAAATGCATCATGACTTTTCCGAAACCCAATATATTGTCCAGTTTCCAACAAAAGTTTACAGGACATACAAAGAAACAAGAAAGTATGGCCAAACACAGGGGGACAAAGCAATCAACAGAAACTCCTTGAGGAAACCCAGACTTTGAACTCATCAGACAAAGACCTTAAATCAGCTCGTTTACATATGTTCAGAGAACTAAAGGAAACTCTACAGAACTAAGCAAAAGTATGAGAACAACGTGTCACCAATTTGTTCTATCAGTCAACAGGCAGAAATTATTAAAAAAACAACTAGATAAAAATTCCGGAGTTGAAACGTTCAATAACTGAAATGAAAAATTCACAGAGCGGCTCCACATCAGATCCGAGTGAGCCGAGGAAGAACCAACAGACTTGCAGACCGGCCAGATGGGCTTTTCCAGGCTGAGGGGCAGAAAGAAACAGAATGAAGATGAAGAAGAGCTCGGTCCTCAGACGCCTGTGGGCCACCGTCAAGAGAACCAGCGTGATCACCAAAGGTCCCAAAAGGAGGGACGTTCGAAAGATTATCTGAGTAAATAAGGGCCAGAATTTCCCCAAGTTTGATATAAATCATCCAAGAACTCAAAAAAACTCCCAAAGAGGACAAACTCAGAGTTCACACTTAGACACATCATTAAACTGTTCAAACTGTATGAAGACAAAGAAATATCTCAAATGCACGAGGACAGAAGCGACCCATCAAGTGCAAAGGCTCTCGATGAGGTCAACAGCTGACTTACCAGGGACCACGGAGGCCACGGCAGCCGGATGACCTGTGCGAAGTGCCCGAAGGCAGGACGGGCAACCAAGGGGTCTACATCCGGCAAAAGGAGAACTCTCACCAGGGACCTTTCCCCACAAGACATGAACCCACTTGAGGCAACGAAGAACACCAGTGAAGGTAACTAACTACGTGAATAACCAGAAAAGACAGCACAAATGTATTTTGATTTGTAACTCTACTCCTAGCCAATTCTAAAGGCAACTGTATAAAGCAATAACTATCAATACAATGTGTTTTGATGGGCACGCAATTTACACAGGTGTCATTCATACGAGCATCACAGCACAGGGGCGGAAAAGGAACGGAGCTGAGCAGGAGCAGTTTCATAAGCTACTGAAATTAAACTGGTACTAATCCAAGCTAGACTGTTCTAAATATTCACTATAACTCCCATGGTGACCACTAAGAAAGCAAAAACTACGGTAACTGAAACAACAGGGGAATTCAATGGTACACCAGAAAATACTTCTTTAATGTAAAAAAAATGTTTAAGCAGTAATGGAAGAATAGAGGGAAAATGCAAGGCAGTGGAGCAGAGCTCGCTGGGGGAGCACAGAGAGGTCTCCATTAGCGCTTTTAAATAAGGCCATTTGCTCTATTACGGGTGTATTAATTTTGATGATTTTTCCTGACTAAAATACTATTCCAACACAGAATGTAAACTCAGTAATGATTACCAAGTCATCACACGCTACGAAGAATTTGAACTTTGATCACAGGAGAATTTAAAAGACACAA